TTCTATTGATGTCACTCCCAGTTATGACAATATCATCCATATACACAACTAGCAAGATTTTTCCATCCTTTGAGTTATAGCTGAATATAGAATGATCAACCTGACACTGTTTCATCCCAAAGGCTTTCACCACTTCACTGAACCTGCCAAACCAAGCATGTGGAGATTGTTTCAGTCCATAAATTGCCTTTTTGAGCCTACACACCTTACCAACCTCCCCTTGAGCAACAAATCCTGGTGGTTGCTCCATATACACTTCCTCAACGAGATCACCATGTAGGAAGGCATTCTTAATGTCAAGTTGTACAAGAGGCCAATCATACATAGTAGCTAATGAAATCTATACCTGAACTGAACCAATCTTAGCCACAGGAGAAAATGTCTCCATATAGTCCACCCCATACAACTGAGAGTAACCCTTGGCCACTAACATTGCGTTCAATCGCTCCACACTACTATAAGGAAGATACTTCACTGTGTAGACCCATTTACACCAAACAATATGCTTACTGGGAGGAAGAGCGGTGAGTTCCCACGTGTGATTATGTTGTAGATCCGAGAGTTCTTCTTCCATGGCTTGCCGCCACCCTATGAAGGTAAGAGCTTCCTGGACAGTCTTGGGGATGGAAACAGATGAGAGTAATGATATAAAATTGCAATGAGAAGCAGAAAAGGTGAATAGTAGAAACATAGTGTGAGATGGGATGAGAAGTATAAGTACATCTACCTTTCCGCAGAGCAATAGGAAGATCAAGATCTGAGGGAGAATGAGCAATAGCAGGATCTGTCAACAGGGGCTGAAGTGGAGGAGGGTCCGATGCACTTCTGCGGGCATACACTTGAGTGATTGGCGGCCTCTCAGTAGTAACAGGCATAGGATATGCATCTGCAGTAGAAATAGGAGCTACGGGAAGAGGGTCCACAACAGGTGTAGGAAGAGGAACCACAGAGGGAGAGGAAGAGACCACAACATCTGAGAAAAACGAAACTGATTCAAAGAATGTGACATCAGAGCACACAACCTTTTTATGGGATTTAGGGTTATAACACTTATATCCTTTCTAAGTTCTCGAGTAGTCAAGAAAGATACACTTAGTAGCTCAAGCATCTAGTTTGTCTACCCCAAGCCCCAAGTGTTGAACAAAACAAACACAACCAAAGACTCTTGGGGTGAGAGGAAATGGAGACAAGGTGGGAAACAACACAGAGAAGGGGGATTGACTTCCAAGGATTGACATGGGCATCCGATTGATCAGAAAACAGGATGTGAGAACAGCATCACTCCAAAAATGCTTTGAGACATTCATATTGATCATTAAGGATTGACCAGTTTCAAGAAGATGTTGATTTTTCCGTTCAGCTACACTGTTCTGTTGTGGGGTGTAGGTACAAGAAATTTGATGAATTATCCCATGATGTTCTAGGTATTGCTGAAATGGTGATGAGTTGTATTCTTTGGCATTATCAGAGCAAAGAATTTTAATATGAACACCAAATTGAGTGCGTATTTCAGCATAAAATTTTTGAAAAATAGAGAACAATTCACTACGGTCTTTCATAAGAAAAATCCATGTCATCCTTGAAAAATCATCAACAAAGATTACAAAATAATTATAGCCATTGTATGACACCACTTTAATTGGATCCCATACATCAGAATGAACTAAAGAAAAAGGACTTGAGACACGACTATCAACTCTTGGACTAAATGAGACTCTATGATGTTTTCCCAATTGACATGACTCACAATCTAACGATGAAAGATGACTCAAGGAAGGAACCAGCAAATTCAGAACCTTGAGAGAAGGATGACCAAGTTTGCAGTGCCATTAAAGAGGAGTAAGAGACGACTGAAAAACTACTGAATGGCCACCACCATCAAGTTAATACAATCCTCCTGCTTCATGCCCTCCACCAATCTTCCTCCCCATCTTGAGATCCTGAAACACACAAGAAAAATGATAGAAGGTTACAAAACAATTAGGAGACTTGGTTAATCTACTAACAGACATAAGGTTAAAAGGGAACTTAGGGACATATAAAACAGATGATAAGGGCAATGAGAGATCAACATCACCAACACCACAGATAGGAGATGTAGAACCATTAGCAAGTGTAATTGTTTGAGATGTGGAGGAGCAAGAAAGGGAAGAAAATACATCAAGAGTCATAGACATATGGTCCGAGGCTCCGGAGTCAATGATCTAGTGCGAGGTTTTGGAAGCTAAGCAAGCCATACCTGAATGGGAAGTGTAGCGGTGTTCTGCTGAGATGTTTGAAGGAACTGCTCATATACTGCACGTGGTATACTCACCATTTCCTTCCCAGAAGTACAAGTAGATGTGGAGGGGATTGGGTCAGTTTGCTGGCTTTCAGAAATCGTGCCACTACCCTTAGTCATAGAATGGTTAGCCCAAGTGTTGGGTGGACCACATAAATCATAGCAGAAATTAACTGTATGTCCCTCTAAACCACAATGTGTACACTTTCTCTGGGCATTACTTCTTCCTTTTCCACGGCCTCCTCCTGAGTCTTGACCTCCAATCCGGCCACCAGCTCGATTAAACATGTGACTACCACGGTTGCTTGGGAGTCCACTMCTGACACCACCACTTCTATTTCCACGACCACCCCCTTTAGTCACTACCAAACCAGATCTGTCAGAGAGAGAATGTTCTACTGACTCAATGGATGTCCTCTTAAGACGAGCAAAAACTTCTTCAAGTGAGGGAAGAGCAGATCCCCCCAATATTTGTGCTCTAACAGGCTCAACCTCAGCCTTCAAACCCACAAGAAACCTCATCACATCAAGTTGCTCACGTTGCTGTTGTTGGATCTGAACATCTGATGTTAGAGGGTGATACACATTGAGCTCATTACGGATGTTCCTCAAACTTGCATAGTACTCTTCTAAGCTGACTTCCTTGCTTCAGGTTGAAATATTCTTGGTACAATTGATACACCCTAGTTGTATTATCTTGTCCAGAGTATAGCTTCTTAGCATGATCCCAAATTTTCTTAGCTGTATCTAGGAACATGAAGTTCACACTAATATTTGATTCCATGATGTTCTAGAGCCATGTCATTATCTGTGCATCTTCCTGTTCCCAGTCACTGAACCCAGGGGAATCAGAGGGAGGTTTCTCCTCTCTCACATGTTTGACCTTCCTCTTGGCCTTCAAGAACACCTCCACAGATTTTGCCCATGGTACATAACTCTCACCATTCAGCTTGATGGATGTCATTTGAACACTTAGATAGTCTAGAAAAAGCATGACACCTGTTTTATTGTCATTCCCATCTCTAAATGAAGCCATCTTAATTATTTCACCTTCAAATATACAACCCAACCTCACACACTTTCACAAGACTTATCTCACTTATAACACCACCAACTCCAACTTCTTCAAATGCACATTACACACTACACACTAAGGCTGAAATTAATCAATCATCACATCAAACACTTGTATTGCACACTGCAGAACCATTCACCATCAACACACTAGGGCTGAAATCACTCGGTCATTACATCGAACACTTGTTCTTCATACTGCAGAACTGATTACACACAAGGTCTAGGAGTTCACTTTTAAATACTTAGAATCATAGATACACCAATCAGCACGACATAACCACTACTACACCACTGCTATCGTGAACTTCAGCAATCGACAAATCTTCTTTCAGCACACATATGAGGAAAAATGCAGAGGAAAACGACTGATATGCATATCAGTCACACCGAGCTCCACAACAAACAAATTTTGAAGCAAAAAACACAGCATTCACAGTCCCTTACTTGGACAAATGACAACAGTGTTCATACCTGTCCACATTCAGCCCTCTTCGTACACTGAATAGAGGGTTTAGTATACCACTTCAACGACCACCACGACAACGACCGGAGGCATTCTCACCTCCAGGTCCACAATACGACAGCTCCTTTTCAGCTCCTTATCGAACCTCCACTCAGGTTAGCCGAAAAAAGAAGATGACTGTGAAAGCTGGTGGCGAACCCAGAAAGAGAACAACAGCAAGAAAGAATGAGAGAAAAAGAAAGGAAAAAGACCTTACTACTCTGATACCATGTAAGGAAACCCTAGTTGATTCTAGGTTGAAGTAGAGAAGAAGAGAAAAGAGAGAAGAAGAAGAGAAGTTCGGCCAGACTAGAAGAGAGAAAAAAATCACTTCTCCCCTAGCCGACCCACTTGTATTTATTCAAAATCATAGAGTTACAAGAAAGGCCATTTTGTCCCTCATAAGAGGTGGGACACATAACTTAAACTCAGATACAATAGACCTTTCACTCTCAAATGGATAAACCAGAATGACCAAAATACCCCTGATTCGAGCATTCTAACAATATCAAAGACAACCCAATCCGACACCTAGTGCAGTACCATAATCGAGTCTAGGGGTCAGGTGTAACATTCCAGTTTTGCCCATCTATCTCCAAGGTCCAGCGCAATATTGGAATTTGGTCCGATTCAGGGTTTCAAGAAAACTCACACTACATGTACCTCAAATTTCACCCTAGTAGATGAGACAAGCCACCCAAACCAACTTGACGGTACATTAGTGTCAACCTTGGCAGGATAAATCTCCCCAGATCTATCCAACGGTTGTGAAGATTCTAAACTAATACGAGTCTCATAAGTGTCCAGTTTTAAGGGTATTACATAGAAACACACCACAATGACATGAATCATTTATGCACTTTATTCATTTACAATATATGTCAAATGATACATCAATCTGATTGGAGCTAAGGGCATAACTGTCTAACATTTCCTTCCCTCGTGGGGCCATGGATTGTTAGCTTTGGGCTCAGCAGTAGCATTGCCACTTGTGATTTCATGGTTCTATAGCCATTTGGTTTTCTGCCTTTCTCCTCATGCATAAAATGGATGAGGACTTGGAGCTTGTACTTGATGAGTACCTCTTGGTTTTGTTGTAATTAAGTCATTTAGAGATGAAGATTTGAGAGAAAACACAACTGCACAAAGTAAAATCACAGGTTTCATAGAAGTAATTGATCTAGATCCTTTTGACATTCGAAATAACAACTGAACAAGCACACTGCACATCCTTCTTTCATCAATGGAGCCAGAAATGTACAATCACCTGCCAGCTCTGGTCCTGGTCAGTCATCCCACTCATGATAGGTGGTCCAGGTTGCCCGGTCATCAGCAATCAAAGTTGAGCTTCACCCAAGAGCTAGATAGATGGGAACAACTAGTACTATGCAGGCTGTTTTTAAATGAACAAGCACAACAATAATCTAACATGCAATCCAGGTTTTTATAGAAGCTGCCAAACTAACACATCATCATCATCACCCAAACCTTATCCCAACTATATGGGGCCGGCTACATGAATCCTGTTTGGTCATTCCATTCTGTTTAATACCAAGTCTCAAATCATCATGTAAAAATAGTAAGCATACAAACAATATTGTACATAATCTATTCTCTGTGATCCCAATACCTTGAATCTAGATCGGTTGGGTAAAGATCTTGGGCAGCTGTAGATCCACTCCATGGTCCATCAATCAACATGCTCTGTGTCTGGCTCTCACTAATGCTCTGATCTTGATTCTGTTTATAACGTCTGATCGCAGCCTTGAAGCTCAAATTTTCATCGCAGAAACTTGCATCTGAAGCAAATTCCTGAATACTGACTTGGCCTTCAAGCATACTCACAACAGATGACATGGCGGGCCTAAGTGATGCAGAGGGATTGGTGCATAAGAGAGCCACATTAATCATTCCCACAACCTGTTCCTCATTAAATTCTGATCCTAACATTGGATCGACTATATCAATGAGTGCACCTTTCTCTTTCAGAATATGAACCTGAAAGAATTATAAAAAAATGAACAAAAACCAAAATAAAAAAGTCTGCTTATCAAGAACAATAGAAACAAATATTGGAGTCCAAATTACCCAATCAAGAAGATAAACATCCTCCTCTGGCCTAAAACCTGAGTTGCTCTTCCCACTGACAATTTCCAAGGCAACAATTCCAAAACTGTATATGTCTGCTTTATCTGTCAAATGACCCCTCATCGCATACTCTGGTGCCATATATCCACTGAAAATTCAAGATTATCACATGTGAAAATTTGAGACTATTTACCAAAATGTGACCAGTTATCCATGAAGGATTTGGTAAGTCACTTCCCAATGGTAGTGGCTCTCATAAAAGCCTTGCTTTATTCATTAAAGGTTATTTCTGTGCTACTGGTTTCAGTAATTTTCTTGTTTTAGTTATTACTCTTGAAAGATAATTGCAGTTCAGAAAACTGGAGTTCTGCAGTATGGATCAAGTTTGTTGAATTTTAATTAAAAAGTAAATAAAACGTCCCATTTCCTTTTCTTTCTCTTTTTCACCCAAAATATTTAAATTAGTACTCAAAACTATTAATAATGATTCTGTAAGCAGATTGTGGAGCATGGCAACTTACAAGGTTCCAGCAACTCGAGTGCTTATGTGAGTGTTTTCCTCTTCATCAAGCTTGGCCAAGCCAAAGTCAGATATCTTAGGGTTCAAATCCTTATCAAGCAAAATGTTAGTAGCTTTGATGTCTCTGTGTACAATCTTCAAAGTGGATTCTTCATGGAGATAAGCAAGACCCCTTGCTATCCCAATGCATATCTTGTACCTAGTTGGCCAATCCAATTTCAAGTGGCATTCTTCAGGACCTTAACATTATCAGATCATACACATTAGATAAATTAATCTGTGACAGGTAGGATCTAATGGTTATGGTTCAAAAATCAGTTCAGCAAATGATGTGGAGGTTACCAAACAAGGCACGGGCAAGGCTATTATTTTCCATGTACTCGTATACTAGCAGCAATTGATTTCCTTCAGTACAGCAACCATAAATCTTTACAAGATGAGGGTGATGCAGGGCAGATATCATTCCTATCTCATTTAGAAATTCACGATTTCCTTGCTTTGATTTTGAAGAAAGCTTCTTAACTGCTACAAGGGTACCATCTGATAGGAGACCCTGCAATGTAGTAGTAAGTTAAAGTTCTTGGATCTAAATTCACATTTAAAAGATACCTGAATTTGGATGAAAGGTAAACAGGTGAAGAAAAGTTGTTTTAATGTAGAATACCTTGTACACAGATCCAAAACCACCCTGTCCTATTTTGTTTCCATCATCAAAATTGTTTGTGGCATCTTTGATCTGTCTTAAGGTGAAGGATCCAGTTTGCACATCCAAACCTATCAGATCTGTCCAAGTGGATAGGCTAGATGAGAAATGTCTATAAAAAAGTAAAAACAAATTATATTGAACCTAGTAGCTTACATTCTGTACTAAATTCTATCACAAAATAATCCACAACCATAATGCCAAAAATCATGTGAGTAAAGAAGAAATACAAAAAAGAACATTTACATGTATTTCATCTTGCCACTCAAAGGATTAGTATGGAATCTAAATATTTTGCAGGGGAAAGACCAAATGTGAGTAAAATCAAAGACTATAATGGTTGAAAAAATAAGATGTATTTAAATAGGATAGAAAAATTTCAAGAGAACTTGAAGTTAAAATTGCCTACTCTTTCTAAAAAGTATTTTTTCCCTGTACATTGTCATTCATTTTTATATAAAAGTCTGCAAGGATTTATATTGCTGACCTTTATTCATTGTGCTCTTGTTACATAGACAGCCTCTCCACCAAAGAAAACCTAAAACCAAGAAGATAAAGCCTACTATGGAGATCACAACTCCAGCCACAACACCTGCAGACATTGTTCTTTTACCATCTGGAGGAGGTGGGAAGTCTGCATAAATAAATAAAAGGAAAGGATCAGATAGAAATAATTATCTAATAAGGTGATTGTGAAAAAAAAGTTTAAAATTCAAACCAACTAACTCAACATCATACAGAGAAAGGAATAATATACTTGACTGACTAAAAAAGAATAAATAAAGAAAATCCAAATCATATTAAGGGAAACATAAAAAATGAAAAACAAAAGAAAAAAAGTCTGGTTCACATTATCTAAATAAAATGTTTTTTTGTATGAAGGTTTACTCTAAGAAAGAAAAGAGGGAAGAGAGAGAGAGAGAGAGAGAGAGAGAGAGAGAGAGAGAGATGAAAAGAAGAGAGAAGTTAGAGCAAAACAACCATTATGAGTCAACTGACTATAACTTGCATTTATGGTTTATTTCAGAAAACGTAAATTACAAAAATACCACAATATCGCTTATTTTTAATATTAATGACAATGTTTTCAGCCTGCAGTTAAATCGTCCAGTCAAACCTGTCAATCCATCACCTGGCCAAGGTTCAAGGTGTGTCTGAAGTGTTTATTTGCAAAAATTATTGACTTGATTAACAACCTAGTGACCCAAACAGTTCAATCACTGGACCATTTGACCAGGCCAAGGGTAGTGGGCAGTAATTTTCTTTTTTTCTGTTTCGTTTTTTATGTTTAGAAATTTCCATAAGTAAAAGTGAGGGCTGCTGCAAGTTCAGTTGAATCTTATACTAATCATTTGAATAGAATTCTTACTAGGGATAACCTCGTAAGGAAATCTTTGGCTGTGACATCCATTTATGCTTTGTGAAGAGAATGCTGAATTGGTGAACCATCTTTTTCTGCATTGCCATTTTGAAGAAGGTTTTGGGTACGTTTTCTGTTAAGGGGTCCTACCTGCAATCTATGATTGAGTTCTTAAAAGGCTGGAGGATTGAAGGAATGAGTAAGAGGGGAAAAATCATATGCAATATGATTCCATCATCTGTTTTTTTTGGGGTCTGTGGCAAGAAAGAAATTCAATGATATTCAAGGATAAGGAATCATCGGTGGACAGTGTTCTACAGAGGATAGTGGGAAGATTGCATCCATGGATGGCCATTCATATGTTATTCAAAGGAAGAAGTCACAATACATATTCTGTATACAAAGATCCTTTTGTAAAATGTAATGGTTTATTATGATAGCACTGCAGGAGCAGTGTTTTGTTTTTGGTTGTTGTTGTTTTAACCTCACTATGCACATTATCACACTTCAATATGATGAATATATGCTATTAGAGGCATGCCCAACTTTTTTCTGCAATTTCTGAAATTTTCTTTATTTTTTTTTACATTTTTATCTATTTTTATATGCTCATTACCTGATTTATGGTGTCATGGGTTGACCCATTTGACCTGAATGGTTGAACCATTGACCTGCAACCCAGAGGGAAAACAATTCCATTTCTGGGTCATCTTTAAAAACACTAATTAATGCACTTTTCTAGCCCATGTTTCTTTACTCTTTTCCATTCCTTTTATTAATATATTTTCGAATAATTCAACAACTAACCAAAGAATAAACAAAATCTGGTATTAAAAGAGAATAGAAAAGAGAGAAGAATAAGATACAGAGAAGAGGGGTGGATAAAATCAGATTTGTGGTGGTCATAATGAGATCCTCCCCCTCCCCCGCAAACTTTCTTATAGTTGCTGGAAATATGTGAAAAATTACATATGTGCCCTGGTAAGGCAGCAGTGAAAAAAGACTATAAAAACCAAAACAAACCCATGGCCCGATAACAATAAGTCCATAAACTAAATGAGAAATGTAAGAAAGAAAAAAAGAACAGACAATAATTCCACTTCTATTACTACTTTCAACACTCCTCTTAAGCTACCTAATATTATGAAAATCTGATAACAAAACAAAATATAAATGACCTATAATAAAGACTCAGGTTCGGGTTGCCCCTTAAGAAAAAATCATAACCTTTCAACAATTTCATCAGCAAGGCACAAAAAACCTTGGTGCTGGAAACACTTGAACAAGTCAATGACATGCATACCGAGTTTTGTCAACTGAAATAAATAAGTGGACTACCAAAGAATCACTTTCCCAATCTAGTAATTGTCAGATCTAATGTTCCCCTAGCCTTTAACTAGACATCTGAGCTCTTCCCAATAGTACACAGAACAAGACTACGTGTAAACACTCCAAAGGCATTGGAAACTTCAAAAACCCAAATTACCCACTCTGGAATGATATAAACAGGCTAGAAATATCTATGCATAATAGTAGATTCCACCCAATAGACTGAAAAAAAAAGCCTTTCTTAGGTTCTTGATTTTTTTGGGCAATGTTTCAACAATCTTCTCTTGAGACCAACCAACTTTCAATTAGTTCCCCAAAAATCATCTAAAACCAGGCAATTCAAGAATGAATTATATATCTCCAATTATTAGCCAACAGATCAAGAACTCACTTCCCAAAACACTGTATGGATAGTTCTAATATAAGTTGCATCTAAAATAGAGAGGGAGAAGAGGTGGACTCTTGCTCCCTATTTCACAAAAAGTCTATCATTTCCTACCTCTTTAGAAATATGCAACTGATTAAACAAAGCCAAATCACCATCTAGAAAACAATCCCCACTGACCACAATTAAAACTAAAGTAAATCTTTGATTTTCCATAGCTTTTTGGGAAAAATCTGTTGGGACCCAAACACTCCCTCCAAACCCAACTATAGGTGTGGAGCAGGCCACCACCGAGCAGCATTTCACTAGAAGACAGAGAGGCTAGCGTGACACATGATAGAGCCTCCCAGAGTTAGTTACACTGCCACCAGAAGATATTCTCTTCATGATTGCATACATGTAGGCCAGCTATATAAGGCCCTGATCATGTAATAAGTGGCGTGAATGAATATCCCTTTCATCTCTCTCAGTGTCATCTTCTTCCTACCTTTTCCCCTTTCCCTCCCATCTTCTGTTTCAGGAGGTTAAGCCACCCTC